GATCCTTTTAGCGTTGCTATTATAATTTCTGTTCAGGTTTGTTTATCGTAGGGTTGAGGGTTTGTTTTTCCCAATTAAGAAAACAAAAAAAAACAACATCTGGAAGTCAAAAGCTCCTCATACTAATGCAGTCGAATGATTTCATCACGAGCCTCGTAAATAGGGAAGTGGTGGGTTGGTGGTTAAGGAAGCGGACCTGGGACCGGAAGGTTTAAGGTTCGAGTCCACCAGCTGCCAAGTTACCCTTGAGCACGGCATCCTCCCCACACACTGTTCCCTGGGAACCTAAGCTGCCCCTCGCTAACTTTGGTGATGGGTTAAAAGCAGAGGTTGTGTGTGCAGCAGTGTGCTGTATCACAATGTCAGTCTTTTTCAACCCATACAGGCTGCCATGGGGGGGGCGCAATTAAGTACTGTACTGTAAGTTTCTCTGTTTTTGAGATGTGGACTACTTAAGATTTTTATTGACTTTTCTTAATTTTATTGATGATAATGTAAAATCATGTGCCACAAACCTGGAACATCACTTCAGCCTCAACAAACATAGACTTCCATTCAATATGGAATCCTAAAGATTACAGGAAAAAAAATTGAGAAAGAGCTGAATACACAGGACAGGCTGTTGAAGCTGTTGAAGCTGTTGAAGCTGTTGAAGTTAGAACCACATCACTGCTGATTTGCGTTTCTAATCTCATGGTGAATGTGTTTCAGTAGATAGAGATCTAGTGAAAGTGCAAGTCTCGCTGTGTGTCCTGTGTTTATGAATGGCTCCAATCACAATGGCAGACAATTTATGAAGCGCTTCATCAAACCTCACTAAATAAACAAGGCTCTGGCAGAGATTTGATTAAAGAATTAATAAAACCTCTCATACAAACCTCAATTGAAATTACGATATATGTGACATTGGGATGTTTTGTTGTCCTGAGCTACTGCATCTTTTTCTCACCACCAGTTTTTCTAAGACAACATGGATTGAACCTCCTGACAGGCAGCTGGTAGGAGGTCCACACTTTATCTAATTATCTCCGCGTGTTCTCTGTGTGGATACAAGTATTTTTCTGTTCCCCCACATGACATCAACTCTCCTGCTTTTGTGTTTATGGGTGCCGCTTTCTCTTTGTTTTCCTTCATATAAATAATATTATTCTCTCTCTTTAGCGCTGCATAATATACAACACAAGGCAGATTAAAACCGTTGTCCTTTGACCATTTTAAGATGCAGCAAAGCAATGGTAAATTTTATGAGCGTAGTCTAGATATTTTCACACAAAGTGAAAATAGCTGTTCTATAATAAAAATGTTTAGACCCAAACTTCTCATTCTGAGTTTTGATTTCTGGTCATAAAAAAAAATCAAGATCACAGAAACTCACTATAGTCTTACAGTTTAGCTGTGGAGCTTCTTCGCTGCAGAGAAGTGCTTCTCCAACTTTTTATACTCTGTACCACCTGAGAAAACGCTGATCTCTCTGAGTACCATCATGATGACCAACATTAGAATATAGCAGCGTAGGCCTTCACTATTAGCTTTCACCACACAGGAGAGATGTTTATGTTTAAATGTTGTATTAATTGTGCATGGTATGTTTCAGATTTATTCAACTGAAAATGTAAAATATGACCTATTACCACAGTTTGAGAACCACTGCAGTAGAGTATTACTGATCATTTTAGAAATAAAACTGTGGTAGAAAATGGAAAGATCATTGAGGCAAATAACTTGGAATAAAACGTTTTAGAGTATTTTTTATTTTAATATACAAATTAACTGTTGTATATCTTAACTACAAATCACCCCTGCTTTATGTAATGCACATACAAACTGTTACAGATGAATGTTATCATGGACTACTAGTAGTAACAATACGCGTCCGTTATATCTGTGCTCTGTGCCTCCACTATCAGCGCTGTATGTACAGAACAGTCCATTGATTTGCTGGTGCCTGCGGCCAAATCATAAAACATTATCTCTAAAAACCTGTATCAGGTCCAGAAGGAGATAAAACAGAACTGGAACTCGACCAACCCTTAAATGAAAAGGAGTCCGGTTGAATCTATTTGCCTCCGTTCATTCATCAAAGTTTGAATTATCATCAACTGCACTGTGGGTATAGCGACAAGGCCAACAATACAATTAGAGTCAAACTCTGTTAATCCAAAACTATTAAAAAAAATAAAAAAATACTCAGTTAGCTTACAAATTGCATGTTCTGTAGCCTTTTCTTTTCTTTAGCTGAAAATGCTGAAGCAAAATGATGATTTCAGTAGTATACAGCAGTGAGTCCAAACCACTGTGCTGAGGCACAATAGTGTGCCATGGAAAATATTCAATTTCACTTAATTGGTCTGAAAACTATTATTTATTTATTGCTTATAATTTGCTCGTCAAGGCATGAAAGGCAGAACAATTAAATACTCTTCTGCTAGGGGGCAGCAGATGGCTATGAAAACTAAAAAAAAAGATAATCAGAGCTGTTGATGATCTTTGTGAGTGATTTTCTTCAATTCCTGCCAGAATATCAGCGTTGTCTTCAACTAAACGGGAGTACATTTTTAGTAAATTTAAACTAGAACAATGTTATATTATTAATGTTATATTTCATTACATATATATTTTGTGAGATTTTTGTTTGGTGGTGTGCCATGGCTTTTTCCTGATGATATATATGTGCCGTGGCTCAAAAACGGTTGGGAACCACTGGTATACAGGAACCAAATATCCCCAATGGTGCCTCCTGCCTCAGTCAGTCTCCATAAATCGACTTTGTTCAGCATGTGAATATTCAGTTTTCAGTTAGGTTTATGAAACGACACGTGTTGCTTTCTATGTACTAACGCAGACATTCACTTCTTACATCAACTGCACCAAATGCACCTTCATTGTGGACAAATATAAAGTTGTGTTTCCATAGATATTGTACTGTTGTTGCCATGGTACAATGCTCGCTTAGAAGACAAAAGACTATTTTGGTCTTTCTGGTGATTGCAGCTGACCAGTGGCTTCACTCTTGTCATCCTCTTTGTCGTAAACACAGGCAGCTATGTTTAGTTTTGAGAAAGTAAAATTAGAAAAAATTACAAACACATATATTATCACCCAAATATTCAAATGAGCAACAATCCCTGACCCCTTTGTAAATTTTACATTTGAACTATCTGTATCTGGATCTGACCTTAGTCTTCAATAAGAATTTGTTTTTTTAATTAGCAGCAGTAATATTAACGGTTGCAAGTAGCCGCAATGCAATTTAGACATTTCTTAGTCATCACCTTGAAAACTTCCGATTGTTCCTCACAGCAGAGACACCACTTGTCTGGGGTGCAGTGAAGTCTGTCTCCAGAGAAATTTTGTTCTTGAGAAGACAGAGGGCTTGGATTCATGACAGCCCGCTGGGGTTAATCTTAAAGCAGACACAGAGTTGTGCAGCTGAGTCATAAATAATTTAACACTTTATTGCTCTCTGAAGTGAAATTGTCTAGTGCTCTTTCTGCTGCTTCACAGGTCAGAACACAGGGTCAGAAACTGAACAGAGGTGATCTAGTATTTTACTCAAGGACCATCGAAAGGGTTGAATACATGTAACGGGAGGGCGACGTAACCACTTGACTCTATCAATCATGCTCACAACTCTAATCCTTCATGCTCCTCAACAAAAACAACAAACAAAAATGGTATTTCTAAGTTCATACTGAGGTTTAATAGGTATTTGACAAACTAGAGATGAAAGGGAATTAGACGCTCGGATCATTTTTTATAGCGATTCTAAAAATATATTTTTGGGGAAAGGTTTGGGTTTCATAAAACATTAAAGAAAGCATTTATATTAATTGTATGATTTCCATATATTTTACATTAGGTTTTTAATCTTTGCCAAATCAAAGCCTTTGATGTGAGAGCTGGATTGAACTAAACCTGGATGAGATATTAAAAAAAACAGATGAAAATTTGGCAACTCAACATTGAGCCATTTAAATCAATTGAGAAATTCTGCTGCCTTACAAGGCAAGGCAAAATATTTCAGCAAAATTCTGCCTGTACAAGAATAGAAAGTGCATTTGTTGTGCAACATCAGCTGTGGGACTTATTGCAGACGCTGGTCTTGCTCTCTGTAGAGGAAGAAAAGTGAACTCTGTCATTGTGACACAGCACCACAGCACACAACCAAATGTGACCTCTGTTTTTAACACATCACCAAAGTGAACAGGGGGCAGCTTTAAGTGTGTGGGGACGGTGCCATGCTCAGAGCACCTCAGTGGTAACTTGGCAGCTGGTGAACTAAAACCTGAAGCCTTCCGGACTCAGTTCCGCCTCCTTAACTGCCAACCCACCAATTCCCTATTTACAATGCTCATGAAGCCACCACTCCCCCAAAAAAGTGTTCCCTAGACGAGTATCGCACCCAGGCCTTGGCAGTGAGAGCGCCGAATCCTCACCACTAGACCACCATGGAGAGGTTGGCAAAATTGTTTATGAGTCATCAGGACTAGACAATTGCTGCATTTGAGTAATAGTCAAATATAAATGATTACCAACCACTTCATGACTGCCCTGATACATACAATAATGGTAGAATGTAATGTGAAATGCGTGAAACACAACAACAAAACATTTTCCTCACATTCAACAAGCATGAATTTGTTTAACAAAAGGAAAAATCCAAAAAATAAAACAAAATAAATAAATATAAATCTGTCTAAAATCTATAAATCTGTCTAAAATCCATGACATATCCAAACAGTTTACCATTCAAACAGAGTCATAAACCACAGCCAGCAAAACAACCGATTTGGGAAACGTGATAACTTGTCCCCAAACCAGAGCTTTAGTCTGATGGGAAACTCAACCAATCCAAAATGGAAAAGAGAAAGCATAATAAAATTAAGATGCAGCAAGAAAAGAGACATTAAAAAATATTTGGATGTGATGGCACAGGTGTGTGTATGTGAGACAAAGTGACACTGAGAGATAGATAAATAGAGAGAGAGAGAGAGAGAGGGAGCGAGAGAGAGAGAGAATAAAGGGAAGCCAAAAAAGAAACTGAATAGTTGAAAAAGCCTGTTCCTACCTCAAGAAGCTGCACTCTCACTTTGTTGTATGCTTTAAGCCAGCGAACTCTGGATGGGGAACAAGGCGGAGGACCGTCTTCAAAGAAACTGACAGAAATAAAGCAAAAAAATCAATGAGTTCAAAGCTAAGAGTTTCCAGAAGATGGATATTGAGAATCAATTTCAAGAAGTGAAATCAATAACCTGAATCTGGTTGTCTGAGGACAAGTACTGCACTGCTGTCCTACAGTACTCTACATTTCACTTTTATATACAACATAGAGCTTCTCTGCAAATGCACCAGGATTACATTTTTTAATGTGAGATATTGATTTGTTTTTTTTTTGCCATCTAATCTTGCGTGATATAATTTACCGGTATATTAATTGTAAAATCATTCTCCTCTACGTGGCCTTGTTAATTATAAGTTTATTACTATTAATATTGATCATTCACCTGGTTCTAGTACGGCTCTCGTCATAGTTGTTCGATTGTGGTTTCGGCAGAATGACTGTAGAGTCAATAAAATCTTTGTTTGAACCAGGCTCTGGTTGTGGATACAGATCTTTCTCCACCTCTTCTGTCTCCTTCTCGTCCCAAGTAGAGGGCTGGCTGAAGAGAGGAGCGTGATGGCTACCTTGTTGACCATACCCTGGATCCTGGCATTTCTCAGGCTCAGGAGTGAGCTGGGAGCTGACAGGACTGAGGTTTCCTGACGACTCAAAGCGACTGCTGTCCGGTGGGCTGTGGGGGCATGAGATTGTTATGATAACACTAAGGAAGAGCGACTTAGTAATAGTGAAAAGTTACAGTTCCTTCATGTTTATGTTAAGTTTTTTTTTTCAAATGCAGCTCGGCTGTTTTTGATTATTATGAAATCCTTGATGGCAAATTTCACATTTTTGTATTGACAAGTTATTATTTTCTCAAATATTATTTTCAAAATAATACAAAGTTAAATAGTTGTGTTGGATATAAGATGTGAGAATCAATTCTTATTTGTATCAATAAGTCAAACATATATTTTACTGCTGTTATACTGTAGGTGTACTCCGCTAAAACGGGTATGATACTTAATCTTTCTCAACTTTTTTAGTGCAAAGAAGACAAAATATTCAAGAACCTCCAGATAAGACAAATACAGATTAAAGGTAAACTAACCTTTGCTTTTATATGCTATCGGAATTACAGTACAGTACGTTTCAGTAAAGTACTGACTACCACCATGATGACCAACATTAGAATATAGCAGCATAGGCCTTCACTATTAGCTTCTACCACAGGAGAGATGTTTAGAAATGTTTAGAAAGATGTTTATGTTTAAATGTTGTATTAATTGTGCATGGTATGTTTCAGATTTATTCAATTGAAAATGTAAATGTGAAAATGTGAATTTTACCCGCGTACCACAGTATGAGAACCACTGCACTTGATATAGCTACTCTATACGTACACACTACCTTTTAAGTTGTAGGATAGGGAACGGAAAATCGAAGGACTGACAGATGACAATTGAGGAATGATGAGGAAAATGGGAATTTAGGACCATAAGAGGAACAAGGAATCTGCAACTCTCAAATTGAACTAGCCTTTTCGAAGCATCCTCCGTCAGCAGGTCTTTTGGTTGATCTGTGTCCAAATCGGCATGCAATATGTCGGGTGTATCACCTTCAACATTTTCTTCAACGCACGGAGTGATTGTCACCTGGGGTTCATCTAAACATTCTGCTACAGAAGGTGAGTGAGAAGTGAGGCCAGACTGCTCTAACTCTGCCAACGTGTCACAGCTTCCTGTTTGTGAGGATTCTGTCGGTCCTTCTGTGTCACTGGCGTTTGCACTTCCAGTTTCACCTGAATCTCGAGAAGGTTTTTCAGAAACCATCTCATATTCATTGGTTGGTTTTGAACTTTGACTTTGAGGTGTGTCAACATTGACAGGAGAGGTGGAATCACCTGTGGGGGTTTCAGAGTTCCCTAGTTTTGTGTCAAGTTTCACACCAAACAGAGATAAAGCAGATGATGTATCTTCTTTTTCAGCTGGCTTTTTGTCTAGAAAAATACTATCGGAGAAGCTTTTGAAACCAGAAAATATGCCTCCTTCTGACGGTTGGATCTGTGGTGCTTTAATGTCAGAGGATGGAGATGAATAGGAGAATAATGATCCGATAGTTGATGCACCTTCAGCAGTTACAGACATAAAACCAAATTTAGGGGTAGACAAACTGGGTAAATCAAACATGCCTTTGCTTTCAGAAGCTATGGTGGGTTCAATCTTGTCAGGCAATGTTGACTTTGTTTCATTTGAGATTTCAGCCTGTGCTTCTCTTTTAGTTTCAGTATCAGGGCTCTCTTCTTCCTTTAATTGTTCTGCCTCATCAACCAATCCCTTTTCTGGTACTTCCAAGTCTTGCTGGTTTTTATTAGGCACGCATTCAGATACATTTGTCCTCTCTTTATCGGTTTTCAAACTTTCACCTGCAACTACCTTTGGAGAAGTAACATCTTGACCACTCATCTTTTGATTTTCCTCAGATTTTGTTGTGTCTGATCCTTTAAATATACCAAATAGGTCACTGGTTAAGGATTCTGGATCAATATTACTTGAAAGCCCAAAGAAGTTTTTCTGCTGTGGAGGTTGTGGTTGACCAGAAGCAGGTGATCCAAAAAATGAAGCAGTAGAACCACTGAAAAATCCTCCAACACTTGATTTACTTTGAACATTTGGAGTAGAAAACATAGACATAAAGCCAGAAAACGGAGCTCCATCAGGGGGCTTTTGTGGCCCTGATTGCCTTGGAGGAGCCATTCTCGGCCTGCCCATTTGTGAATGTCCCATTCTTGGTGCTCCCATCCTTGGTGCTCCCATTCTCTGTCCTGGAGGCCCAGGTGCCCTTACCATGGCTGGCTTTGGTTGTGGATGTGGAGAACTAGAAGCTTCCAAGGATGGTGTTTTGAAAGGTGTAGGCTGTCCACTCTTTGTTGAAATGTTAGCAGCAGTGCCTTCTTCATTTTTTGAAGAGTTGTCAATTGTCAAACTTTCCTCACATGGTTTGTCTACTCCGTGTACAACCTCAGTAGCAATTTCTCCATACAGTAATTGTGATGTTGTGGGTCCCAATGTTTTCTCTTCAGGTGTGCTTTTAAAGTCCTCAGAAGACCTTTCTGGACTCTTTGAAATTGGCGCAATCATGGAATCCTCAGCAGTTATTAGACATTCATCCTTAAACTTCTCCATCTCTGCAACTACTGTTTGTTTTTCATCTGCAACTATCACTGGTGCCTCAGGCCCCTCCTTTTCCTCATCTGTATCCATTTGTTCTTCTTCATCTTTCTTTGTTTTTTCTGTTAGCTTCTCTGCTACTGCAACAGATTTTTGTTCTTCAACATCTTTCTTTGGCTCTTCTACCAAATGGTTTGCATCCACAACTGATTGTTCTTCAAGAGCCCTTTGTGGCTCCCTAAATATGTTTTCATTACCTTCAACAGGCATTGGTTCTTCAACAATAACCTTATGTGACTCCATAGTTTGTTCTTCAACATCTGGACATTTTGTTTCTCCTTCAACACCTTGCACTTTAATAATATCTGATTCTTTTTGTGTGTCTATAACATTTTCAACACTTTGAGAAATTTCTCCTTCACCTTCCTCAAATGAGAGCTTGTTTGTAACTGGAATTATATTCTCTTCCTTGTTCACAATTTTTACAATATGTGTTTTCAATTCAGTATTTTCTCCATCACCATTCACTGTACCATTCACTTCTACGTATACTTGTTCGGTGTGTGGCTTCAACTCATCATCTAAACATATATTCTTTTGATCCTCTTGGGTCTCATTTTTAATATGTTGCTGTACTGTTGCCATTTGGCTTTCTTTGAGCAGTGGATCACTAAACGTATCCTTACTCTCTGTGAAGGATTCCACAGATGAATTCTGAACTTCCAATTCCTGCT